CCGCATTGCCTTCTTTTGTGATCTGGCATCTATAAATATGGATTTTTCTTAATGTGCTTATTAGTTTCATGACAGAAGTATGCCAACTTCTTGTTAATTACTGAAACCTCAATCCCTAAAGTTTTCGTGTTGCCATTTTTGTAATTACCTTTGTATCCTTATCTCTTACTTGAACAATTCATTTTCACCTCTTAAAATCTATGCGTTTTATGTTTCATATTAGATTTTTACATGCCGATCATCCCTGTTTTTGCTTATTTTCAAGCCTGGCGGTACTCATCTGGACAGCTGTGGACTTATTGGCAATCAGAATGCCATCGGCTATTGGTCAGAGATATAGAGCTCTCCATCACCCATGATTCCAGTGACGCTGGTTATTTATACTTAATCGGACGTGTCCTTTCAGGCGACTCTGATTCGGATTTATGGCATCGAGACACTCGTATAATTGAATCCAGTGGGGGTCCAACCGCCTGGTACTTTAGATTTGTCTCACGTCTCTTCTATACAACTTTGAGTAGCCAATCGTCAGTTGATGTTGAACATCTTTCTTCAGCACTTACTCAATGGAGACGGGATGAGGAGCGAGATTCTATTACTCTTACAGAAGGACAGGCGATAAAGTATGGTGAAGATTTCCAAGAACCTCAGCCGATTGATGAAGTAATCCACTTTTGATTTACTTATGATGGAATTTTTTCTGTAAATATTCATGGGCTCTCGTATGTAGAAAACCTTGTTTTCATTTTTCCATAGTTGAATTTCGATCATTTTTAATTGCCTTATGCAGGAAACTATTCGTAAATATGGTTAACGTTTCAAAAGTTTAAATAATTTTATCATTTTCATAAAGGAATAAATTATGCTAAATATTTTCAGAATAGTTCAAATATCTGTATTAAGCATAACTAAGATCGAATTTAGGTTTAATTGTAGACTTGTGGGGCAAACAGATGATTTTGATGTCTAATTAACAGAATTTCTATGTATTATTTTTTGTTTCTTTGATGTTGAATTCATGCGTTTGTGAATATGATAGTTTGATGGAAACCATGTGACACCACTGTTGAAGTACAGGGCTATTTTTGGCGAGGTTTACTTCTCAGTCCACTCTGGATGAGGTTAACATCTTTGGACTAGTGAAACGATCGGTATTAATTTGCAGTCAGGACTTAGGAATTAGGCATGAGTCGTACCATAAGAAAGATATTGTTATTCTGGAAGAACTCGAGTTCCTGAGTTCCAAGGCATGGGTTATAGCATAAATCCAATTGGGATATCAGTGTTTATTGTCTACTCGCCTCCTTTCGCGTTTACGCCTTTACTATGCAATTCGAGTGTCCTTTCCCTAACTTTTGTCGCAGATATTCTGTCCATTGACAATATAAATTCATAGTTTATT